AAAAAGAATGTCTCATTATGCTTTAGCATGACAACCAATCATTACTACTCATCTTCAGGACTTTATTTAAGTGTTCTTCTTTGGTAACTTTCATTGTTAAACACTTTTGACTGTTCTTAAGAGACACTTCTTTTTAAAAGAGTTTCTCTCTCATTCATCATGTTCTTGATTATTAATCAGGATTCCATTTTCTCCAGGCAAAACCAGGAGAAACAATCCCCTTTGCAGAGTATCATTACAGATTCCCATTGCTATATACCAAAAGACTTCCAAGTCTGCCCCTGAATCCTAACCACGATGTCTCTAGCACTGTATTTCATAGTTTCATAGAATGGTTTGGGTTAGAGGAGACCTTTAAAGATTATCTAATGCAATCCCCCTGAAAAACGTACCCAACAGAGGCATCTTTCACTAGATCAAATTGCTCAATAATGCTCCACTTTAAGCATGTATTTCCTAACACAGATAAGAACATATCTCTGCTCTTACACAGACAGAGATTCATGCACACATCCCTTCTGCTTCCTTCCACTGACATTCACATCACTTCCTCTCTTCCAAGATGCCAATCTCAAGCATCAGCTTTGGCTTGTCCTTTCAGCTGTCCTTGTATCAGCCCTCTACATTATCCCTCCCTTTGCCACTTTCTGCCTATTTAATATCTCTTCTTGTAATCCATCATTTGGTATTGTCCAGTTTTGCTTTAAATGCACCATTAGCATTACAGATGAAATTAAAATTACTAGGCACCCTTACTGGTCATTCAACATGAATAAACATTTCCATCTGCCACAGAGCAAATCATTTAAATCTTTCACAAAACAAAATACCCTCTGAAATCAATATGAATATTGACCCAACATAAAACAAGAGGTTTTTAATAAGTAATGTAATTATTGCATATGCATAACAGAGAGAATACTCATAACCATTGTAGCTTTAACTTGAAGTCAGGCATGGAGAAAGCATGTTACAAATTATTACTGCACCAGTCCCCCATCTTTACATTTGGCAAAGTTTCCTCAAATATCCTAGCTAAATAGATCTAACCACCCAAAGCAGTAACAAGAATATCCTGATTTCTCTTTTCAAAGTCAAATTCTAGCGCAAAAATTATGACACTTAGGCTCTCCTTGACATTAGATACCAGTAAATCTTAAATACAGCCTAACAAAGGGGATATATTCAAGCAGACCAGACAAGCATTTGTTAGAGCCCTTCTGATGGCAACCAAGGGAAGGTCGGCACTGCCACCTCAGACTGACATTTCAAGCCAATGTTTGAACTGCCATGAATGATCAGATTACGTGTTTTTATTCAAACACGAATGACTTTGAAACAGAAATGGGAATTTCAGCAAGCTGCAGGTTGAACAAATTGATCCAGTACGATTTACTTTTCACTTTTGCTCAAGAGAAGAAGTTTAAGAAATTTACACTACATGAGTCAAAGAAATTGATGGTTTTGTACTAGCACTATATCACTGCCACAAGTTCAAGCTAAACCAATCACTTTTTAACTAGAAAGAGGCCTGAGACATGATGTTCTGATCTCAATCTGAACTTCACAAAGTTCATGATGGTAAAGTTACAATTTGGCATTTGCCTTAGGATCTTCTTCACTTTTAACACTGAAGAATTTTTTTTTTAAAGTAACAGCAGACTCTCCTCTATCAGGTTTATTAGAAATCAATGAATAAGCTCGATCCAATCTCATTTCAACATTGTAAGAAGTCTAAATAGGTGTCTTTTAGCACTGCAGTTATAATAAACCCCTCTAAGGCTCTCTGGGAGTCTGGTGTGGATGTGAATTCCAATATGAACAGGATTTGAGGACATCCCCGGACAGATTTGCCTAATAATTACTGGCTCAACTGCAAACTTGAGACAGGGAAGGATTTTTAGATCAACAGCGCCCTCTAATGGATTATTGCTGTATTGTGATGGTTTTCTTCAGTACTGCAGTAAAAATAATTCTGTTTTCCACTTGAAATTAAAACACAACAGGAAGCCAAAGAATTTGGCTTTGAAAGACTTTGAAACCCTAAAGACAAAAGGTATTTCTTCTGATTCACAAACATCCAGAAATTGCATGAAGAAAGGGTACTGTTCAAATGCAGAATTTGCAAATAAATATCTTAGGATCATTTGAATTTTCTGGGGGTTAGATATGTAAGCTTTGGGAAGAAGATGGTTTTGCACCATTGTTTACAATTTTCATACACACAGGAGGAGGTAACAGGCTGGCAGCACTTCTAACCATTCTGTTTTATGGCTTGATTTTGGTTTGCCTTCTGCTGTACTGCTGTCAGTGATCTTTGCAGAGCATCCATGTAGTAGAAGGGAATAAATATCTATTAAAAGGGCTGCATAAGGATATGCTTTCATGATCAGATAAAGCAATTCCGAAATGCATGATGTTGAAAGGGCAGAGCATACACAACTGCCACACAACAGCACAAGCAATAGAACCAACAGACATGCACACATCAAAAAATAATTTAAAAAAATCTGCAAAAACAAAGTGGGGGGGGGGGGGGGAGCAGTCTTAGGGTATCTGAATCATTTAATCTGCACTCTGAAAATGCAGAAAAGAGCAATCAAGAACCCTTCAAGAGTAAATAGCTCTGTTTTGTATCAACATACAGTCAGAAAAACTGACTCAGCACAGTGGGCACAGCTGGGAGTGCCCCATGTCAACAGAGGAAGTTCAAAGCACTACTGGAGGCAAGAAAAATGCTCCCAACAATTATATTGAAGTAGACTAAGAACAAAGGAAAAAAACAAAAATTTGATGCCTGGTACTGCAACACTCAATTTTGGGACATAATTAATTTCAAATGACCTATCACTCTGGAGGAGAAATTCCTCCACAAGTCTGGATCTCTTTACTCCTTAACCAAAAAAGCTCAAAACATTCACAAGGACCACTCAAAATGTTCAGGGGCAGAAGATTCAAAAAGCCTAAGTCCTGAAAGGAAAAGTGGCTCATTAACAACAAACATCTACAAAAAGATTTTCATGGATGAGAATGCTTTCCATGGACCCTCACTGACAGAACACCTGGAAGTGCCATGACAGAAGAGTAACATTGAGCACACTCATGATGTGAGTCTCACAAGCAACAACTATGAAGTCAGTCAGTTTCTCTTTCTAAACACAAGAGCACCTCAGTGAAATACAGGGTCTCAGAAAGGAGGGGTGGTGTTTGCATCTTGGTTTTGTTCCTCCTTAAAGATGAGCTGTGATCTTAAATAAACATACTAACTGACAGGTCACCTATTCATTATAATAATAAGACCTAAAGATTTCAGTATAGATAAAGAGTATTGTGCTCAGCTATGAAGACAAATTTCTCTCCTTGATGAGCATTCAGCAGAACATATGCTGCAGGTTTAAATTCAAATGACAGCAAATACACTTTTGGTATCATATTACGTATCTAAATAATTTATGTTACAGTTTTGTTATAGTTACAGAACAGCATAAACCCATAAACTCTATCATGTTTGCGGTGGGTTGATTCTAGATGGATGTTAGATGCCCACCAAAGCTCCTCTATCACTCCCCACTTCCTCAACTGGACAGGGAAGAGAAAATATAACAAATATTGAGGGATGAGGTAAGGACAGGGTGAGATCACTCACCAATTACTGTCATGGGCAAAGCAAACTCAGCTTGGGCAACTCAGTTTAATCTTTATTTTATATTACCCATCCAACCAGAGTAGGACACTGAGAAATAAAATTAAATCTTAAAATACCTTTCCCCCACCCCTCCCTTCTTAATGATCTTAAGTATGCTCCTGATTTTCTCTACTTCCTCCCCACTCACCATCTTAGAGGTGATGATGTAGTCAGTTCATCATACTTTGTCTCTGCTGGTCGTCCCTCCTCAGGTTTGCCATGCAAGCCCAATTACAACATTCTTGATTTTTTTGGCTGTTGACTGACCTCAAAGAATGTACCTAACAACTAAAACTTCCTTGAAGTACAGTAAGTAGAAAGAAAAATAGGTCTTTCTCAGTCTCTAATTTCCTGCCATAGCCTGGGAAAGAATCCTAAGATTTTACATCAAACATTATGTGGACCCTCAAACACACCTAAATAATTTCACACAGAGAATAACAGGAGAGGAAGCGAGATCAACTCCAAGAGAGACACTTGAGACAGGGATTTGCCTCTACACAACTTGGAAAGAAACAGAACATAGCAAGAATGTAGAAACACCTCCTTCAATGCCACCCCAGGTTCCAGCTACTTGAGGGTAATCAATTGCCTCACAAAGAAATAGCACCTGCCATTTAATGCCCTACAATAGATTTTTCTTCCACTAGTTCACACAATTATTCATTGAACTCAACAATCCCCGTTCACTCCCTGTCTGTGGCACCCTAGAGAATTCCACTTTATATTATCATATAGTAATGCCCAAAACAAAACTAAAAGCCCTAGATTTTGGAAGTTGAAAAGATAGGCCTACTTCACATTTTTTAATACTGCATTTGTTTAAAATATTACAGTGCACAACAGAATCTCGCTTGTCTCTATTCTTGGAAACAAAAAGAGCATCATTTCTGAACATATCCCTGAAGTATCAGTTAAATACCATGATGTGCTTCTATACAGCACACTCTCCAGGGCAGTGTATTATAAAACACTGAAACCAGTGCACAAAATAAGCTGTCTGATTAAGCTGAGTGCTTATGGCCCACATTTTAAGAGTGAATTAATCCCAGCCCTGACATTAACATGTTTTGACACTCAAAGCTTTTCACTTCACCTAACTATATATTCACTTTTTTCTATTGTAAAACAGACATAATGATTCTTTGCCTGCTTTGTGAAGCCGTCTCAGAATTTCATCAATAAAGTACTACATATAAAGAGATATGCATTTATATTGAAATGCAGCTATTCACAAAGAGCCATCAATTTCCAACTCACTACTTAAACCATTTTTATAAGCTTTCATTCACAAAAAAGCACATGAAAAATTTACCTGCTCATTTTTGCAGATCCATACAGTACTCCCCTGAAGTAGAATAAAGATTTTGGTTTTGTATCCTTTCAGCTCAAGATATCCACTTTTTTCAGGGGTGACAGAACTTCGAGACTGAGAGTTATTATCAGGCAGCAATTTCAAGGCATTGAGCATCGTATTAACCCAATCATTTCTTTCTTCTAAACAAAAAAAAAAAAAAAAATTGGTCAAAGACAGTTAGTTAAGCAGCAGCTTCATTCTTCTCTACATATTGGCTTTCCCAACGTTGTTGCTATGTTGGTTGGTGGAACAGCTATGCCAAATAAAAGAAAACATCTACGTTGATGAGGAGGTGTAAATAAAAATAATGAAAATCTGTATCAGTGGAGGTGTTAGAAGGACAGTCATCCAATTAACTGCCAACAGTCAACACACCAATCCAAACACACTGATGATGGAGATTCTTCATGACTGCTAGTTCTGAGATATTTTATTCCAGACAGCTTAAAGACTGAGGTGGCAGACAGGTGGCATGTTCACCTTCTGGAAGCCAGATCAATAGGAAAGAATTCCAGCAGTTTTGAAAGCAGAAACCAGGGAGCCTAAATATGATCTGCCACTGAAGAGACAAATCATCACCAGTGCTATTCCACGCTTGGCCACGCTTTTAAGAAAAAAAATACTTGGTAATTTACACTCTATTCCATTAAGCTGAGGTGGTTAAACTTGACATTGTCAAGGGTACTGAGTAATTAAGAAACGGTGTGTTTGAGCACCTTTGCATACATTATTAATGTAACATCTTACAAATACATGAACACAAGGAGGTGAAGTAAAAAAGTTTCTCTCAGTTTCGTTCACTATGTTCAGACATTTGACTGGACTAAGATCAATACACTTTAATGCTGAGTAGTCCAAATGAATTAAGTTTGCCTTATGCAATTGGAATATAATTAATATTTCAACTGTTTGCTCTGAAAAAACCAGATCACAAAAGATATTGGGGGAGAGGTAGAGGTGGGGAAAGGAGGGAATAGAAGTTCTATACACAGTATGTATAAAGCTGGCAAAATTAGCACGGAAGACTGCAGGTAGCACCACTGAAATAATAACATGCTTAGTTCATAAACAGCATATGTGCAACATACAGCAACAAATACACAAATTTAGGTATCATAAAATACTTGTAGAAAAGGAAGACAGCAGATTAGCACAGGGAATGTGATCCAAGTGTTCCTGCAAAAATTTTGCTTTACAATATATATATGCTGTCTTGAAATACTCCAGTAATCTTTTCAAAGTACTTTAGTATATCTGATGGCACCAAATTACTCTAGAAGTGGTTTTTTCAAAGGTATTTCACTCTGCTGAAAAAAAAATCTAACTGCATCTGAGTAATTCACTGCTATCCCTTGTTTGCTTATTTATTTTGCCTCCAAAAGCCCCTAAACTTTCCAAACCATTATATATAGTGCTTTTTCCTCTAGGTATTTAAATCCATCCAAAAGTAATGCATTTCTGATACCTCAAAATACACATAAAAATCTCCATTTCAAAATCTTTGAAAGAAGTTAAGTACCTTTTAAATAGTCCCAGAACAATTCCCAAACACAAATCCACAAAAGTAATAGCATCAAGTAACAGTTTTGTTTTTTGTGGGAATCCAGGGCTTCCCTCTGGCTGCCCTGGCAGGTCTGGGACCCTGGCAGGGGGTCAGGAACCCCCCTGTACAGAGCCCCGAGAGACACTGTCTGTGATCTCTGTCCATGGAGAGGAGTTTTCAATCTTACAGAATGAATTACAAGCTTTGAGTGTTTGATAAGAGTAATAATTAAGTGTGACACGGGTGCAAAAGTAAAATTTTAGATTTCTAGATTAGGGGTTCAGAGGGGACAAGATGGAGGAATTGGGTGTGTCTTGTCCTTTTCCTCCTTCTTCATGCCCTCCATGTTTCACTGTAGTGTTGGCATTTTTCTATTGGTTTAGGCTGGGAACACACTGTTCAATGTAGATGATAGATACTGGCACATTATTGTAAATATAGCACACGTAATTTCTGGTATATAATGTTTGTAACATCCCACTGAGGGGCAGAGCCCCACACGCTGCCCTGCAGGACAGACCCGCAGCAGGGCAGCAGAACATGTTAGAGATAAGCAAGAATAAACAGCCTTGAAACCAGCACAGATGAATTATGGCTTCTTCTTTGGCATCGGGGCAGAAAGACAGAGACTTTCTACAATCTCAGAATCACCAATACCCACAGATTCCGACAGTTTTTTGCATATAACAGAAATCAAGCAGGGTTATTTACATACTTTACTGGGAATACATCATTCAGTTCTGTGCCACATTCCTTATATAACAGGCATTTCTAACCTTAAGTGAACAGCTTTACAGACATCTTACTATGTCCAAAGATAGTTATATACTGTATGAAAATGGAATTTCATGTATAACAAGGGGTTGCTCTGAATATATTTTACAAGTCAGCATAAGTTTTTAACACTTTTATAATATACAAGGCAAAGGCCTACAAAAAAAAACTTGCAGCCCTCCAAAATGTATTGCACCAAGATGGTTATATTATAATCTATGAAAAAAAAACTAAAATAAATTTTGAAGAGAAACACAAAAAAAAAAAAAGAAATACATATTTTTAAACTCAGCTACAAGCATAAAAATGACTGAAATTATTTGAGCCAAACCTGATAAGAAGGATTTGTTCACTGATGCTGCACTCCTGTTACGGCCTGCAGCAAATGTTTACTACCAACTATAACCCACAAAAGTGGGATTTGAAAATGGAAATGCTGAGAGACCCCAGAGCTATAATGGTTCTGGCATGCACTGCTGTAAATACATATTGCACAATTCCTTTTTCCTAAGCATTCATTTTTATTTGTTTCCATAAACAAATTATACATGCAATGATATTGATTCCACATATTACAGCTGTAGGGTTGATAAAGCATTCAATTAGAAGGCATATGAACTTCCTTGCTACAATTTACATTTGTAATCTCTATCAATACCTGGCTAAAAATACTGTATAGGACAGAAAATCTCAGATCTCCTTTAATCACAGCAGCACATCCCAGGCATCATTCATTGTCTCTTTGTCAATTTTTTATCAAGTGGTGATTCAGAGATGTCTGAGAGCACACAGGCTGTAAGAGCTGCTAGTGAGACTTCAGAAATGTTCAAACAAATTAATCTTTGGGAAGGATGGAGGAGGAGGCAGAAGAGTCAGCAAAATAGTCTTATCATTTTGATATTTGAAAAAACTATTGTACAACAACTTCCATTTTTCTTACAAAGTTTAGAGTTATCTCCAGTTTCACTTTATAAGCTTAAACCAACTGGATTCCAGAAATATTTTTCATAGTATAAGAAGCTAAATTTCACAAACAGAATTTGTCAACAGTGATTACATGGCTTTTTGGCAATTTTTGAAACACACATCTTCTACTTACCTTCTTTATCCGCACGGAAAACAAAAGTCCTATGGGATGTGACAACTTCAAACTTACTCTCCCCATGAACTCTCACTGTTGCTATTGCAGAGAGCAGTATTATTCCTTTTGAGAACACTTCCTGTAATAAAAAGGCAGTCAAAATATTTAATTAACATGGAATTTTAAATTTCTCTGATGTAACACTACTTGTCATGATGTTTAGGGAGCTCACCACACTTAATATAACTGAGTATGTTAACCCCTTCACTACTTACCCCAGCACACCTGAAAGACATCCATACCACATGTTCAGTATATAAAGCTGGGAGATGCTCACAGTGATGGAGTTTGTCAAGTAACAATTAAGCAGAATAGAGTCCTGCTCTCCTGGGGATGGCCAAACACCTGCATGCCCATGAGAAGTGGTGGATGAACTCCTTGGTTTGCTTGTGCAGAACTTTTGCTTTACCTCCCAAAGAGTCTCTATCTCAACCCATAAGTTCTCAGGTTTATTCTCTGATTCTCTCACCATCCTGACTGTGAGAACAGTGAGTAGGTGTGGGGCGTGGTTGCTGGCTGAGGTTAAACCACAATAATCTAGGGTCAGCACAAATTTTCCCAGTATTTTTAGATTTCCAACTAGGTATTAGGACAACTGAATGGAACACAAATGCAAGATGGGAAAAAGGAACTGCTACAAGTATTTCCTTCAAGTAGCTCCCTTTTAAAGTTATTAACCTAAGGGTTCGTGGTGGGGGTTGACAGGAAGGAAAGCTGAAGCAGACGTGCCCTTCAGAAATACATCTGTATTATTTCTGGATTCCAGAGTTAATGCTGCTCTTGACTCCACTGTACTTTCATCAGTTCATTTTCTGACCAAGACAACTCAGATATACTGGTGAAATTTATGATTCAGAAGCAGTAATAGTCTGAGGCACCCCCATAAAGAAACTGTGTTGTAAAAACTTCCCTCCCAAAGTATAAATTATTGTAACAGACTCATATAAGCACTCAAGAAACACTGTGACCATGAGGCAGGAAGGATGATACACTGCACCATTTTTTTGTTTACTGAGTTTAGTATACTAATGTTGTTTCACTCTGAGGTACTAATACATGTCAGCAAACGTAGTTTAGCAGATAAATAAACAGAAATATTGAAACACAGCAGAAGCAAGCATGTTACTATAGTTACACACAAGGAATAATACTTAGAATGACCATAGAGAGAATTACATAGCTATTTTTATTATGGTTATATTTGTTAAAAGAGTGATTTTAACATATTTTTAATGAGGTTGGATATTAAGTTAACTACTGATCCTTCCACGGTAAAACAAAAATTTTACATATACTATTTTTGTAGGTGTTCAGCTATAAATATGTTATGGTGTTTGCAGGCATCTACAGGCTATATACGGTACTACTGCAAGAGAATAACAGACTGCTGGAAGTTACAACTATTTTATTTCTTTCACTTTCCTTTTAAGCTGAGCATAGTTTTGCTTTGCTATTTAAACAATCATCCATCATCCTTTTTAAAGCTTTGTTCTCCAAGGCATACATATTTTCAAGTACAGTTTAAACCATAATAATTTTCAATCTATCTTTCTTGTGCAGCAGCTTTTCTTTCATGAGCAAAAAAAAATGCCTGTTACAAAGCTCTTGTAGATCAAGATACAATATCTCTCTTTGAAATACTCCAGACTAGAAATTAGGTGAATTATTTAAGACTATAGAAAACAAACACAGCCAAGAATTTCACAGCTATTTGTTCTGTTACTGAGTGGTGTAAACTAATTTTAGAGCTGCTAAGAATTCTCTGACAAAAAAAATTCTAGCAGGGAAAAGCAAAATGTTTGGGTGTTTTTTTTTAAATTGGCTGGTTCAGCAGAAACTTTAATTTTCAAATAAAGTCCCACATCACTCCTTAATGGTTGTGATTCAGAGACGAGCTAATGGACCCTGGAAAATACCATTTTGGACTACTTTGGTTTTACTTCCACAACTGATTAAGTATGACCTATTTCAGGAATGACAGTGATTCATCTGCTTTGCAGTGAATTTTGCTCTTTGTAATGCTCACTTATACTGTGACACAAGAAAAAAACTGAAGTTCTCCACTTGAAGAGTGAAATCTTTTTCCTAAATCACTAATACATTTGTCAGGGATGCTAAGCTGTTTTAAATAAAAACCTTCAACTAAACAGAAGTTTCTGCCTTACTATAAAGTGCATGGTAAAACATCAGATTTCTGTGAAAAGCAGGAAGAAATTTGAAACAAAACTTGTGTATATAGGGTAGCTGAAAAAGCAACTCAGATTCTACCTTCTCCTCCTCAGTTAACCACACTCTGTTGAGACAAAGCCACAAGGGACATTGCTCTGATTACTCAGAGCTTTCTCAGGACCAGGAACACGCAAGAAATGACAGCAACACACATTCAACCCAAAACTTTCCCTAGGTCAGATGCTATTTGTTAAAAGCTGAATCTTTTTTTCATGTATGCGGATACAAAGTAAAGAAGAGCTCTCTATTAGGTAGAAGTTGATACACAACTAAAACAAGGTTAGAAAAAGATGTATGAAATTGGTGCTTAAATCATTCGAAGAAGCACTGATATGGGCATTTTCAGGAATAATAGTCTCTGTGTCTTCCCTCTATAGTCTCCGGTTATTTCACTCTTCATTAGCCATGCAGTACACTTCCCCTTCTTGAGAACCTCACTCCTCTCTAGCTCCTAATTTGAATGACAAATAGAGCTATTTAATATTGGTAGTGTTTCTGGGTAAAATAAACAGTTCCACTCCACTGAGTCTAACCTTCTCTACTTATAATAAGAAAAATATCAAGTATGATATACTACTCTCTCAAGTATAGTTCTCTCAAGTATGAGAACTACTTTTAATTGATACATGAAACAAAAAGTATAACATGCTTGCCTGTGCTGGAATGTCCTAAGACAAACACAGATTAGAACAGACAGAACTTGCCATTAAGTTCTAAAATTAAATCAACAACTTCCCCATTTAAATATATAAATGGCCAGCTATGTAGGTATGAAGGGGGACATGCAAGGCTTTGCAAAGAGCTCAAGCTGCACACAGGTCTTGATGGGTCTGCAAATAGTTGTTTATAATGTCAAGGCAACAATGCACAAGCAACAGTATGAAAAGGCTGATATCCATCTTACATGAAATATAACCACCCAAGATGTGGAGACAGTGACCCAGCAGAGACCACTGCACCAAAAACTCATTTTCTTGAGTGACACCACTGCTCATTCAGCACAGTCCCATTGCGCCCTAAGAAATACTGGTGACTAACTATGTTTGCCTCCTATCTGCAAACTATTTTGAGTTTCAACAAATCGTCAGTTCCCAGAATTTGCTTCAGGCCTTGCAGTTCTCAGATGCAACATTTCTTCACGTATGTGACTCACCAAGTTAACAAGTCAGACACCCAGATTTGGTGAAACTGTATACACAGAGACCAAGCAGCTTTTCCTTCAATACCCAGAGTGAGGCTTGGAATCAGATTCCAGGAAAAGTGAGACAAAGAGGCTTCAACACAAGTGTGTGCCAAGCTGCTGATAGTCTAACCTACCACACAGACCTTTTAAATAGAAGATGAAGAGTTGGTAGCTTCCTATATATCATGTGACACTCTAAACATTCATTTCAGCAGAAGGGAATACTTCTGGAGTCTCTTATGACAAACAGACACATAACAAGTGCTATTCTAGCACAACTGACCTCCAAGCAACATTTTCAGTGACTTTCAAAAGGAAGGAAAAAAAAATCCCAGTGCAGATAAAAGACTAAGTTCTTTATTAGCATTTCTTTTCCCTAATTATGTTACAGATAGTGTTAAGCAAATCCCATTGCAGTATTTTTTCAAGTCTTTCTTAATGATTAACCCTGCTTTTCTGCTCCTCTGAAGCTGTGGGATCAATATACTGCAAAGGGGTACCACTTTTTGTCACTGCAATCCAAACATTATTCACCTTATTCTATTGTTCCTTCACCTACAAAATCACGTCTTCTGCAAGTGAAGCAAAGTAAGCAAGTAAAAACAGATTGTTTTAAGTTTGCGGTCAGTAAACAAAAATACCAATGTAAATAATTTTTGAGCTTCTTCTTAGTTCCCCAGCCCCTCAGAAGATGAGTCTCATCCTACTTTAGTTCTTACATCCTCACCCCATCATAAGCCACCTATAGGTCTCTTACCACCAATCAGCATATCGTTTCAGAACTTTTACCTAAAACTGTATTTTCCTAATGTAATATGCATCTCCAACAGGAAATGGTTTCCAGCATTTAAAATAACACATATGCACATGGAAGGGAACCTTAACTTCCCTTAACATGAATATTGTACAATCATCTATCACTTTTACGTCTAAGAAGATCTTCACTACTTCCAAGAGGAAAAATTAAATAGTAAACCACAGAGCAAAAGAAAAAGAATTGTGTAGTGCTCTGAAGGGCAATTACATGGAATTCCACGAGAATTGCAAGGAATATGCACTTTATTGAAAACCATGATTTAAAAATGCATTTTTGTATCACATATAAGAAGTGAACTACTTTAATCAAAGCAGTTCATGAGTCTGCAAATGTTTCAGCAAGATTCAGTCCTCAGGTACAGAAACAAAACCAGCCCTACACATTGTCGTACTGTTTTTGAACATTCCCATTCAAACCTACCCTAGTTCCATGACATGCAATTATGCACAGAAGACAAACAGGAAAAAGACACTTTTAATCAAAGAGTCTACAAGTGTATATGTTTGGGTTGTTTCATTTTTTTTTTTAATGGTCTTCCATGCTACTTTTAATTTTGCTCTTGCAATCTCCAGCATGTTAGGTTCCCATGACAAGACACATGGCAAACACCATCAAAATAACATCTCTTAAAAGCGTTTAGCATGATCCTGTTCTGTTCTAAAAACAGCATCAGTGTCAAAGTCAAAAAAAAAAAAAAAAATCAGATGCTATCTACCTAGGAAGGTGAGTAATACAAGCCCTTCTAGGAAACAAAAGGATGAATACATGAAGACAAGGACACTTTAAAATACTTAATTACATCTCACCCTAGTATTTTAGATTTGAAAATTAACCTAAGATGGATATTCATTTCTAATTATTCAGATTCTAATTACAGTACTTTGCGTATTACACAGATGCATTTTGTTCTGAACGTGACCAAAATATGTCTCTTACCTTTTCATTATTGTAGTAAGAAATGCTCTCTCCATCAAATTTAACCCAGCGCTTCTGAAATACACGTTTCCTGTGAATCAAAAATTAACACAATTAATATACAGCTAACACTGATTTTAAGAATGTTTCAATCACAAATTATAGAAAGGTCAAATCTTGTTTAGCTTTCTGTTCAAGTGAATATTCAGAACATAGAGCATAACTAAGTGCCACAAGCTCTATTAAGATACTTTCCAAAAATGAAAGCTGAGAACCTCAAGTGACCATCTTAGTGTTGTGCTTACGACAAGGACATCTCTGTTTACAGGCTATGGCACCTCCAGTCATTCCATGTCAACACATCTCCCCAAGACTCTGTCTTCTGGACAATGAAACAATAGCAGGACACCACATCTCCCAAAAAGTACAACATGAAATTTAATTTTCAATGTGTGTTATCAGCTGGACATCATTAATGGAAAACTTTCATTGTGCCATTAACTCATGCTCTGTAAAGACCTTCTAAAAATATATTTTTACATCAACCTGAAGTAGTCCATTACACTCACTAAAAATGTTGACAGATTGTTAGTTATCACCTAAAAATGTCTCAGTTCTAAAATCTATTAAACAAGTTAATTAAGCAAGAACAAGACCCCATTAATGTATTTTCCCAACATTATTTCCTTTCCTTTTAAATGAGTGCTCTGCATTAGGATCAGCAGACTGTGATAGCTTATCAAAACTTTAATCAAATAATAGCTCTGGCTTAATTAACTTGCATTATATGACTACAATAAATCATCATTTTTCATAACCTGGAAACGCCAGTGTACCATCTACTTTGCATTAAAATGTCAATAAACTTCAAGATTATACAGGGACGAGTGAACTTAAGTACCACATACAATGTGACCAAACTGAAAAGCTGTTCAATTATAGTGAATTAACTAAAAAAAATTATAGTGAATTAACTAAAAAAAAAAAAAAAAAAAAAGCGAGCCCTTACTTTAATTACATGATTTGTAGCAATTTAAGAAAACAGTATAAATTCTTTTCCCCAGAGAGTCACAAACTGCTGGGTGTAAATTGGAGCTTTATAAAAAGAATGGGAGGTGAAAAGCAGAAGGAAATATTCTGTTGATGGGAAATGAAATAAAATATGACAGTGAGTTTGAAAAAATAGTTTGAAAAAAAGTTCTTTTTAAAATTTAGTTGGGTTTTTTTAATTCTTCAGACGTTTGAGAAATGGTGTTGTAAGTAAAAGAAAAAAAATGTATCATTCACTGAACCACCCCTGAGAAAAAGTCCTTGAAATGTAGCTGTGGACTGTCACTGGATCAAGGCTAATGACCATGCAACTTTTTTACTCAGTACTAACCACTACTGATTTTGTGGTTAACTCATTATCTTTTCCAAATAATATATTCTCATGCAACACTTTCTTGAATTTTTGTAACTTGTTCTCAGCTCTATCCCTCCAAATAGAGCAAGACAAGCCAGCTGGAATCAAGAATTATACTTCTCATCGCTCTGCTAGTTAACTGCTAAAAGTGTTTAAAAGAAAATCCTGTAAGTAAAGTAAAACAAAAGTTACGGCTAACTGTAGCTCTCCAATAATTCTAAAAAAAAAAAAAAGTGGATAATTATTCTTTGGTAAATGGCAATCCATAAATGTGGACAAAACTATCAAAACAATTTAAAAAGGAAACAAAATAGTTTTGAGCACATTCAAATTCTGTGATGGTAAAAGAATTTTATTAAACCTCTTACTCCTTCTTGTCAATTACCTTCAACAATGCATCATTGTATTGACACAAAACCAAAATAAAAAAAGATATCATGTCAAATCAGATTCCCTAGAAAGGAGCAAGAAAAAATTGGAAATTGCTATACAACAGAGCTTCTTCCAGTGTGTTCAAATACAGTTGTATTCCAAAGCAATTTAATAACATAAATGTCCCACTAAAAAAAAAAAAATTATACACTGAATTATATTGCTGAGGATTATTATGGCAACAAATAATCAAAGGAAAGGCCAAACACTTTAATATCTTTCAGCACAGCTCAAAGAACAGTCCTGAGAACAAAGAATGCAGATCTACTAAGGCTTGAATAGAAGTGCTGTAGATGTATTATAGCACTAACAAATACAACAGTTTCAATTTCTAGATGCTAAGTCCTAATGAAGAGCGGAAATAGACTTAAAAAGTAAAACTGTGCTACTTCCAATACAAAAAAGGATTCACAGAATTCATAAGAACATAAGTCATATGAAAAATGGAAACTGAAAACTACAATTTAAAAGGAGGTTAGAAGAATTTCAGAGTTAGCAACTATTTATGATGGAAGATCTGCTAATGAAGCATTCTTTAGTGAAAAACAGTCTAATGATAGCTGGAGTTTAAAATCAATTAAAATAAAACAAAGAACTTATAACAAATCAAATATAAGATATGTTGTTGCTGTTGTTGTCATTTAACTCCCAAATGTGACAGACAGAATTTATTTTCTATTGTGGTTCCTTCTCTTCATTATTTGCAATCTTAAGAATTGAGCTCAGATTTCTACCATCAAATTTTAGGCACAAAAATAAATTAAACAGGAGGAAGTCAGCCCAGGTGAACTCTAAACTCAAAGCTCAAGTAACACAGACAGAAAGCAACAGGGCCTCCAGTCACACTAATTATTAAATTACAATCCATGGCCAAATTAGTAAAGTAGTATTTCAGAATCAGAGTTTGTTTTCATTTACTTTGCAGCCTACAAAAAATCAGCAAAAATGTAGCAACTGGAAATACTGGCACAACTACTTTCTATATTTTTTCACTATAGCTCATGAGTGGAGATCAACAATTTTAAGAAATATATTTTCCCTGAGCACATCTCCTAAAAAAACTTTAGGATAGGTAACATCATTAAAAAGTTTTAAATTCACAAAAGCTTGGTCTTTCAATGAAAACAATTCCCTTTCCCCTTCCACTATAAATATTAAGCAGTGACTACAAACTTAATATCTCTCATGCAAACATTTATTGTCACAATTACACAAAAACCACTGCAAATACCATACCCTTGAGGGGATAATTTATCCAGCCATCCTGCTTTAACTTTCTTTACTGATGGTCCATAAAAGCAAGCATATGGTGTTATTGATTCATTTCCAATCAAAGTCCGATCTCCACCAAATTGCCAAAAGTTTATTTGCTCACTGGCCAAGCGATCAGAATCTCCACTTTGTATCTTACTGCAAGATGCCGAGTGTCTTTTGGTTTTATTTTTCTTTTTTTTTAAAGACAAAGAATGTTGTTCCACAGTAGAATATACAGATTCACTTTCAGATTCTTCTGGTGTTAATGATGGGTGTTCCTGGGACAAGGATTCATTTTTTGTAAATTCTTTTGTCTTCTCTTTCTGATTACTAAAGTAAGTGGAAAGAAAAAGTGAATTTTACTTTTAAAATGTATTACTACAATGCACAAGTACATAAAATTATTAATTAGAACAAATACTGGTAAGATGTAAGTATGTTTATAACTTGTATAATCAAAGTGAACCACAGACCTGCTAAATACAATCTATCTTTTAACTGTGACCATCCTGAATCCTCCTTTCTCCATTCAAGAGGAGTAGTACCAAGATAACACTCCTTTGGAAGCCAGAACGGAAATTTTAAAGTAAATTCTCCTTCCTCAGAAAACTAGCTTTGCTCTTTTGAATACTTTTGATGGCTTGCATTATAACCTCTCTCTTCCATCTCCCATCTCAACAGAACCTGGTGTAGACTGGAAAACTGAGAAGCACATTAGTACCTACTTCATCAAGCCACTGGCCACTGTCTCATGACAGGAGTGGCGAATGTGTTCTAGTTTTGTGCTTGTTTGGATGGGTTGGGTTTTTTTCTAATGACAAAGTAAATTATGACAGCAGTCAGACACAGTTAGCTATGAGACATATAAAAATGGAACTTGGTCTTCCTTATTCTAACTGCGGAAAACAGGGACACTCTCCAAATCAACAAGAGATTCTATAACATAGTTTAAAGAGTCTCAGAACAGCCACAGTTCCCAGGTTTGCCTCATATAGGATGGAGTAAAGCCTCAAACAGAAGAAAATAAATACAGTCATGGTTGTGCCCTCAGAGCCAGAGGCACTTGTTACATCAGTAAATAACATTTTCTTCTTTACATTTTGAGTTTCTCAGTAATTTGTATTTAATACCATAGACTCTTGGAAGAATATTCTTCATTCATTCCTAGATTCAATTTATTTTCACAAGCCAGGGATTCATTTCCATGAAGTTCCTAGAAAAGAAATATATTGTAACTAACGTTTGTACTGAAGGAGTAAGTGATGTTTAAATTACTGTAGATACAAATCTCACACAAACAGCCTAGCTAGCAATGCTGTTCTTTCCCCCATTTTCAAACATGCACTTGAAAGCTGATTTTTGTATTCTAAGAAATGTTATTTTCAATATTTAAGCATGGCCCGAAACACCTGATACAAACAAATCAGATAGAGATTCAGTATACAGAAATACCACTGATCCAATTTTTCTCGAGAAACCACTGACATCCCGGTTTTGGCAGGGACAGAGTCTATTTTCTTCCCAGCAGCTGTACAGGGCTATGTTTTGCATTTGAGAATGAGAATAACGCTGATAACACACTGATGTTGCTGGGTACAGCTTACTCGAAGTCAAGGACTTTATAGTTTCCCATGCTCTGCCAGCGAGAACAGGCACAGGAAGCCGGAAGGGTGCATGGCCAGGACAGCTGATCTAAACTGGCCAAATGGATGTTCCATAGCACAGAGCATCGTGCTTTCTGCTTTCCACTAGAGTTCCTACCAGCATTAGTATTATTATTGCATTTTTCTTTGTAGTAATTATTAAACTGGTTTTATTCCACCATCTAAGAGGTTACTTGTTTTCCAGTTCTCACTGCAGTGGGAGTGAGCAAGCAGCTGTGTTCTAGTTACCAGCTGCTCTAGTTGAACCCAGTTAAACCACAACAACTGAATATTTTTTAAGCTCAAGAGACACTTCTTATATGCAGGTTAAGTACCATTTATGATTTGCCACTGGTAGCCTATCTTTCATAACAATATTTCTTCTTGGAATAAATGTACAGCCTTCACAGAACACTAAAGATAAAATAATGGCAAATTGAAAATCCTAAAGCAACACTGAACTCAGACACACTCAATGTATCTCATTGGTTTTTTTGGGGTTGTTTCTTGCTAAGAACTTCTTCCTAAAAGGCTCATCTATTGACTTTTTCTTAGAATTCTTTATCACACTGCTTTGTAAACTGCTTGCAGCATACAAAATGTCAAGGTTAACACTGCTCGTGAGCATTACATTTCACACTTACTAAACTTAATGTGACAATCATATTGCACTCCTAAGCTTTTCAATATGTCTTTCTTCCTTTAAAAAACCCTAAATTTAACATCTTCATGCTTTCTGACAGAAGTGTTTTAATTAACTAATTTAAGGTTTTATGTGTATGCAACGAAGCTGAACAACGGCAGAAACAAAGAGGATAAGCTTTCACAACACTGCCATTTGTTTTCTGAGTAGCAGCTCATAATCTTGTACTTGAGGACTGTACCTTGGCAACATGGGAAGGCAAGACTAAAAAAAGACATAGTTCAAAGCAGAGGAAATGCGCAGCAAAAATGCAGAAATCAGTCTGATGCTAGGATAAATCTAGGTGAACTGTCTTCCTCTGCCAACCAGACCCATTATAAAAATAAAAACCCACCAAAACCTAACCACCCACACATCACAGTACTATGCTGCAGCTAAAGAGCTAAAGGAGCTAAAAATGCTGCAGCTAAAGAGCTAAAATGGGGCTAAAAAAACAAAAAAAACCAAACAAAACAAAAAACCAACCAAACAAACAAATAATAGGAACTCCCCACACATACAAAACCAACCAAAGAAACCCTACAAAAAACTAAGCAAAAAGCATCAATATACCTTGTAAACAAATTAAATAGAAAACTCAAAAGCAATCTATCCACTGTTTATCAAGTATTTGCATTGCCTGGAATCTCCCAAAAGAAGGGGAAATGGCCACACTTCTGCACAGTAGTTAAGATGCTAATATCATGGTGCAAGAAACATCTTCAGAGTAAAAATAGGATACTGATATCCTGTATCTTCATTTGTTTATCAGGATCCAAGTGAAATCCATCCCCACTGAAGCTACATGGTAGTACCTCTTCCTGCCTGTCACAAACAGGCATTACATTACAACATTACAACAGTTTGATGTCCTGCTTGTGCTCACACCATACTCTTCAGTACTTGAGTGAATTCAGAGAGCCACATAACTTCCAAGCAATAACTAAGAAATGCATTTCTATTGTCAGTAGTATTTAAAATGTAAAAGTCCACAAATGAAGAAGTTCTATTTGCTCACAAAAATCTGTTTCAAACAAATGAAAACCCAAGTATTTGCACTGTCCTGTTTACAGAAATATCCTGCAAGATGCTCAGACTCAATACAAGACAAAATCCCCACCTCCTTCAAGTGTCTGAGGTATTATAAAAAGCATTTTCTCACGAAATGCAACAAAGCCAGCCTTCCATAGTATTCCAATACCCAGAAGTTCACACATTTTACCGAGCTCAGATCGCATGTTTAATTTAGTCTGTCTACAGCAAGAAATAAAGCCAGTATTTCACTTGTGAGGCCTAAACACACTAGAATTCAATCTTCCTCTGGAGGAATTCTAACATACTTGACTCTTTTAGTTAGACACAACAATAAAATGCTACTAAAACACCTGGATTTTTGAGTGATTTTTTGAGTGGATTTTTGTGTTGTTTTTAAATCAGCATTAAAAAAAAAAAAAAAACAGTTCCATATTCAGGTTGCCCTTCAGAGGTTTCTCTTTATACTTATCTTTCTTCATGACCCAAATCTAAGGCATATTTTCTTTATTAACCTTCATTCCCCTGTTCTCTCATGCTCACTTACTTCCAGTCTGTAGTGACTCATTACCTATTGCTACAGTCCCTCCCTTCATAAAAGTCTACAGAAGCCTTTTCTTTACACCAATGAAACAGAAGGAAGGGTGATGGCTAACTTACAAGCCCTTAGAAGAAAATTTCAGTCAGTAAGTATAACTTAACATCTTTTAATATATATGGACAAACTATAGTCTCATGACTTTAAAAGAAGCAGCAGCAACAAGATCTAAAATCTCAGCTACTTTACAGTGTTATCTAAATATTCTTATTTGTTCCTAGGATATTTTCTTCTGCTGAAAAAAAAACACTGAAAGTGAAATGTATCTCAAGATGTTTGTTTTATAGTTCTCTTTATGACCTTTGTCCACAATTAAGTGCTAATGGAACTAAAATCAGCTATGAAGTTTCCAACAGGCATGTGATAAAACATAACACAAGAAACTGTTCACATGCATGGAAGTGATATTAAAATCCAAATCTTCAGATCAGGTAAAGGATGTCACAGTATACTGCATTAATCATGATTCTTCAACCAGCAAAACAGCAATTTAGTTTCAAGCCGTTAACCCAGTTTAACAGCATGGTATTTTTGTACTTTGTACCTTTATGAGATAAGAAAGAGCGCTAACAACCTTTCTGTGTATGCTTTTTCATAAACAACCATTTCAATTTAATGTACAGAATAACGCTAAGAAGTAACAAGAGGGCTAAGAAACTTTTTCTACAAAAACAGCTTAGACCATTGAAACAATTATAACAAAGTTAAATTTTGAATTTTTAAAGAGATTGGCAGAGACAACAATAACTAGCACGGACAAGGCATTGCATTCAAGGAAAGAAAATGAATACTCTAAAGTTAGCTTTGCATGCACATAACAAGAACTAGTAGGAAAGACACGGTATGATTTTATATGTACTGTGTTAAAACCTCAATAACAACAAAAAAGCATAGTCCAAAACAACGTATACATCAAAAAGAGACTGCTTTTATTCCTTTAAAACTACTCTCATTAGAAGACAAAATTTGAACCATTTACTTTTATTGACCAATTCTAAAGAAATTAGAATGGGAGAAAGAAAAACCCTAGATATCCATTTGAGTAGTTTTTATTTTAGTCAATAGTTTACAATAATGTAAAAATGAAACATTAGATTGAAGACCAGGACAGAAGAATTTTCTGTTATCTTTAGTTCTGTGGCTTGAAATTGGCTGGAAAAATGTAAGTAATCACTAAATCAACAATTTCTGGTCTGCTTCTTGCTGAGACAGAAGTAGGAGCTGGAAATTCATGGCATTTGGCAGATGCCTCACTAAGCTAATTTACCTCTCATATCTCCCTCCACGTGATTCAGAAGTCTGTCCACATATTATGTGTGGCATGCACACTATCAACCACTGACCCCAACAAAAACGTTCACTTCAGAGAATCCTAAAAGAAAAGTGACTTTCTGGGAATACACCAAGTTTAGGAGATGCATGAAAATATCATGCAAGAACTAAAAAGTCCTGAGAACTTTCATATACAGGAATTGAAAGAGGGCATGGCCAAATGTGACCATCATATCACCTAACCTAATGTACAAGCTGCTTTCACAGGATATGAAAAAGTCTGTGCAGAGATATCCAGTCTTGATCTGCAATTCTCAGATGAGAAGAAAGCCACTGTTAGCCTTCTTAGTAAATTCTAACGTTTCAAATTTCAACGGCTTCCCCTCAGTTATGCACAAAGGACTGTACCTAAATACGGCAGCTCTGGCCAATGGGGTTAAACAAAATCAGTTATCTGTCCTATGTTGGTTTAAAAAAAGAAAAAAAAAAAGAAAAGAAAAAAAGAAACAACCAAAACACACACTGCAGCTTCCTATTACTGTTGAACATATACTTCATATTTTGATATTAACAAAAGTCATTAGTCCTCATATACTTATGTCATAAACCCTTTGCATATACCCAAAATAACAGAAAAAGTACCAGCAACTAAAAGAGCACAAAATAAAAAGAATTAAGGCGAGTATGAAATATCCACCATCAAGATTAAAGTGAAGGCACACTATATACATTCATGCTTTTCAACTTACTTCAGCATCTTTAGCGTTGTCACAAATAAAGGTTTCCCCATATGGAGAGATAATGGGTGGCTTTTCCTCCAGGAAAGTATCTTAAAGCAAATAAATAAATAAATAGATACAATCACACAGTGCTCTACTGTGAGGCACAAATGCTCTGCTAAAGTCATAATAAAATCAACAAGGGAGGCAGATTTTTTCAGCTTGTAATTTCCCTGTCCTTCCCAGAAAAAGCTTTGAGGAACAAGAAACAATGTCCAATTCCTATGTGAACTCCAGATACCTTCTTTTCACCACAGATATTATCACTATTATTATGTAATTTGAATATAACTTGAATACAAGCATAGTCTTCTTTCCTACTCTACATCAAGTTAAAATAAAAAAAACTTTAGTTGTCTAGTCTAAGAAGCAATAACTCCAAAGCTCTTTATTCTGACTTTAAAAAAATACCAAAAGTAAACCACCACACAACACTTTTGTGCACAATCTTCATTTTGCCACCAAGTATTTGCTTAAACTAAATACACATAACTTCAAAAAAGATATTTTTTGAATATGAAAGAAGTTTCCAGCTGACTGCACAAGATTTCAAAACAGTTCAGTAAACTATTTAATACAATAAATTTCCTGTTCTTTCCAGGAGCTATGAGCATTTATAAACAAATTAAGCAACATTAGTCAGGAATACACTCCTTATCTCTTTCAAGAAATTAACCCTGCTTAAAAAAAACTGGATCTAATATTAGAAACTTAAAACAGTAGTCTAAAAAAAAAAAAAGGTATATTAAAATAAATTGGGCTTAAAGAGTAGATTTTCTAATTTCTACTTTATTTGGTTGTAACCAAAAAATAAGTAAAAATGCAGAAGTGATTAAATACTCTGCTATCACATAAATCAGTTCTTCTAGATTTTTGAGATGCCCAATATTTCTTAAAATAGGTAAGTAATACTTATTTTAGACAACCAGTCCAAATTTTTCTTTTCCCCTTAATATTCAAGAGGTAAATATCAGCAAGCTTAACTCACTGTTTTGTGAAGTTTGCCTCCCAGTGCAAGAAATATTTACAAGGCCCATATTTCTTCTTCTCTGAAGGGAACTTGAACAAAACAAAGCACAGAATGAAAACATTAATTGAAATTTCCCAGAAAATAAGCAAAAACATTTCATGCAATTAAACAAATAAAATTATATACAAATATAGAAACAATAGATTTTAAATTTGGGGAAATTTTCTGATTTATTTTGAAATAAATATTAATCTAATATTAATTAGTCGCATAATATTATGTTTTCCTCCCCTTATGACATTGAATATTTCTCTGATCCTAGCAGATATCTCAAATTTGGGGTTTTTTTTTGTTCTGAATTGACCTTAAAAACATTGAGATTGCTTGAAGAATGGAACTCCCAGATTCCCAACCTTTCCCTTCCCTTCCCAATGATTACCAATGACTGTATTTAAAAAAGGATGTACTATGAAAATCTACTTTAAATCTGTAAGGGGCCTGAGAATCCAGACAAAACATGCTCCCAAACACTTGAAAAAAATATTACTGCAAAGTTTTACTTTCCTAAGGTGAATTATTTTCCCCCACGAAGTTTTAAAACCAAGAGGTAAATGGCATTGCATTGCAACTGCCAGTGACAACGCCTACACATTTTATACATGGGTAAGAAGGTATGTCCATGCATAGCAGAAAAGTAATTTTATTAGTGGTGTGCTGGCCCCATGTATTTCAGCAATTTCAGCAAGTATAGTAAAATATTATTGTTATTATTAATATTTCAGGTTTCTAATCAGGACACAGGAAGAAAAACATGTGAATTAGAACATCTAACCCACCTTCACTAGTCCAGCATTCTGGATTAGAGGTCTTTTCAGTCAAGCTCTGAACTCCCCCATTAACATAATTAGCAGTTTTTCATCTTAGTTTCATTTTCTCTGCTTAAAATAAGCATACTGAAGGTTCTCATGCATCCTTACAGAATATTCTGAGGGTTATAAATGCCATGTAAGAGCCTTATTGGTTTTTGTAAGTTTGTGGGTCCTCCATCCTTTAAAGCCAAAGGCAATTGTCTTCTACTAAAAATATAAATCTCCTAACTTTTGTTTCCTTTTTTAACATATTGAAAACTTTTATTATTTTATTATTTTAAGATAAGCTACATTTAGAACTTTAGACCTACTGTTCCATGAAGTCCAACTTGAATCACTCTTAACTACAAAATGATGCTTCTTTGTGACAGAAAGCAAGCATTCATGAACTATTATTTCACATAATTTTTACTCCACAACTAAATCTGCCTGAAAAATTTTATTAGATTAAATTCAAGATAGAAGCCACACCATGCAAAGTTACTTGACATTTCAAATGTTACCCAGGTTACATAAAATAAGTTCCCCAATGATTACATTTTAAAATCCTGGGTTTAGAAAACACAGGGTGAGTTTGGCCCAGTGAGCATGGATCATGGCCTAGTTCCCATATATAATTGACTACTCTTCTGAGTCATAATTACAATAAATACTTTAAAAGTCTGTGTTTCATCATACATTTTACTAAAATTCATGTAGTTACACTTTTTGAATCTCCATTAGCAAACTAATTTCATGTATTTGTACGAACTTAGTATGCTTTAAAAAAACCAAAACCTAACCTCATGCATTTCAACACAGATCAGATTTTTTGTTGGTAGGTTGATATCTTTTGAAGGATATTAGCAGCATTAAACTAAATTAAGACTTACAGAAAAACAGCTTTGACTTGAGGAGCTTTTAAAAGTATGGAGGCTTTCCTTGTATAATACAGTGAGTCATTTGCTTAGTTTCAGGGTGGATGGATAATTTCACCAGGTAATGAAAAATAACAAGTCAGCTTAAAAAAAAATAATAAAAAAAAAAAAAGCACACACACACACACAAAGTACCCCACACTTTTTTTTTTTTTTTAATCCATATACTTTTCAGGACTTGTGTATTCTTTTTGATCATGCACCTACATTTATGTATGGCACAAAATCCTGCTGAAAAAACAACTATATATATTTTCCAGCATTCAAAAATACCTGTCATTTTTGGAAAGCAAATTTCTAACTTATGTAAATTAAAAACTGCCTGAAGATATAAAATAAAGGAAATGAGCTCACTTTGAGTATCTACTTGAAAGATATGTGTCATAAAACCCCTATAGTACAAGCTATAAAATGATAATAATTTGTGAATGATTAATAGAATAGTAAGCTAGTTGTTGTACAAATTAAATACCTGGATTAAAAGAGAGAAAAATACTGAAGACAGCTGTTGGAGGAAAAAAATTGAAAAAAAAATCTTATAAAAATCTTATACCTATATCAAGTGTATCAATCTACGACTTTTTCTTTGCCATTTCAGAAAGTGAAACCTCTTCTCTTGAATTTTTTCAATTCAAAAACTGAGTACCTCAAACAAGATTGATGATATTCTCTATTTTGCTCTTAAACGGAAGGTTGGTGCAAGCAGTCTGTCAATCACAAAGTGCACCAATTTTTCAAAGGTAATTCATTATAATAATTTCAATTATTATTCAATGTTGACTTAGTTACAGCTGTGGTGATTGAGACTCCCTGTTTTCATATATTAAGAGGTACCGGATACAGCTCAAGCTGCACACAGTTCTCTAGCACCCCATATTATGCATAAACAGGATGAAAGGATGTGATGAGGCAGTGACTGGTCCTGCTAAATGCTGAAAGGCTGGAAAGCTAAAACTTTGCACAGAACTTTTCATCAAGCTGGTTTATTCAATATACTCCTGTCACCTTGCAAGTAAGTGAGGGAAGGAGGTCAGTGCAAGCAGTCAGTGCCTCAAAGTCTTTACTTGGCATTCATCTGCTGAGTGTTTTAAATGAAAGAAGCTTTTGTTTTCAAACTCATTCAAGACAAGTTTTCGCTTCTATCAATCTCAAGACCTAACCCTCCCATAATGCAAACACATCAAAACTGCTCTAGTGTGCTGTGTTAAACCTTTGGGGTTCACTGACTGCTAGCAGAGGTAAAGTAATAATGATACTTTACCACAGGAAAAGAGAGGGACCAGTTTCTTTCTTCTAAAAAATTTATTTTGTGTGGCAGAACACAGCATTGGTAGAACACAGCAACACCAGTCTTGCACCTCATTAGCAATCTTGACCACTTGTATGTTAAGAAATAGAGTTTAAAGGGTATCAGCACCAAGCAAGAAATTCTAACTATAGGATCTGCCAGCTGCAGAAAAAAAATGGTGCCTGCTCAGGCCAAGCACCATTATCTATTTTACTTATTTATATCGTCCCCCATATGCAGGATGCTGCCCAGAATTTTGGTCTTGTGTTTCTTACTTCTCTTAATAAAGAATAAGAACAATGCCACTACCGCACAACACAAGTAACAAAGATGGATGACATGAAAAAAATCTAAATCAGTCTTAAATTTTATCTGCGTATTATTCTGTATAAAAATCAGATCTACCATGCTATAAGTCTGCTTCAGCTTTTTGTTTGAACAGATTGCTTCCCAGAATGATGCAATGGTAACTATTTCACAGAGGAGTGACTGCTAGTTGACATTACCCAAAGTACCCAAAGCCTCTAAAACTATTTCAAAACTAATTATGTTTAATCTTGTCATAAACACACATCAGTGGTTAGGTCCATCCATTGCAATACTTTCATTATTTTCAATTTTTCACTTTGTGGTTTTAAACACCTTTGACCGATCTTTAATAATTCTCTAACAAGAGAGAGCTCATAATGATACAATAAGGAAAAGTCCAGCTGAAAACAATTTAGTATAACTACACATCAATATTGAGCAACAAAAACCAGTACTAAAATCTGTACAATAACTCCACTATTAAGAAAAATGCGTAATTTTCACTTTTTTCTTTTTTAATTCTGCACCCCCCAATATTATAGTGCTGCCACACTGTAGTGCCATAATTCATATAAGAAATAAACCCAAGGTTTTTTCAACTTCTAAAATCCTATGGTGTCTTTCCAGATGCCAGCTTTGTTACAGGCAAAAGCCAGGAGCAGAAGCGAGGCACAGGGAAGCAGATAAAATTGGAAGGGAGGTAAGTGCATCAGTAGTAATAAAAATGACAGTGTCAGAGCCCTACTATGGGGCACAAGGAGACCCACTGTAAGAACTTTTTGTGCTAAAGGCACACAGGAGGCGATGAGGAAAGTACTCCTTGCATGAAAATTTAATGACTAATATCCATGAATGACTAGAAGGAAATACTGACTTCCTCAGATTTCAGCAGGATCTGTCTGCCTCTATGGAATAGCCTTTATACAATATAATAAGGATCAAACCAGCATCTGCCAATAAGGCTGGCTGAAGCTGTTTGTCTATGCAATTCTGTGAGTAAGATACAGTCTTTCCTGAGGTTAAAGATGTTTGCACAATGCCATTTTAAAGTTTTGTAATAGTTCTCCACCCCTATGAAAAGGTTGTCAGCAAGGTTATCAAGAATTTTTCTGCAAAGTTTAAGTTTGGCCATGAAGTTCTTGTTTAGCCTTGATCTTTGGCAGACAGACTCAGGTCCCTCAGGATTTCCACACTGCTGTAACTGGAGCATAAAGACCAAGAAAAGATACTGGAGCTCACAAGTCAAAATAGTGAGTAATGAACTTAGTGACCCAGTCACATACCAATCACTAACAGACTGGGAATTGGAGGATTTACTCCAATGGTGGGAAGAGTACAAAAACAGCATATTCTCTCAACTGGATGATTGCTGCTCAAAAGACAGTGAGAGTACTCTTTTAGGATGTAGTTATTATTTCTTAGGTTAAGAATCCCATTTTGTCTCAGTATGAATAGCTTTATTAAATGAAGTAGGGATAATCACTCTACAAAAATTAACATAAATCTGCTCCTCACTGAAACACAGGTATACTCAAGTTTCAATGAGCACAATGTTTTTGTAATTTAGAAGACATCAATGAAGCAGTTTTTAAGGCACACCAAAAAAATCACTAATTGTTGCAAAGAATCTTTGCCGCTCCACCTGATCAAACAATTGTATGACAAGATTAATTTTGACATCGTTCAGTAATATAAAAACTTATAAATGCTGGGAAACCCCTGCATTTAGAGCATGTATAAACTCGATGATGTTTCTAACTGCTGAGATATGCAGATGAAAAACGCAAGATAAATACAAAACATTCTTAGACATGTCCCTTCCAGGCATAGCTTGTGGTTCAAAAAAATTTAAAAAAAAAAAATCAACCTAATGATCTGGATATGGCCACGCCAACAAAACTTTGCATATGCCTCTGCAGTAATTTTTCTTCTGTTTAACACACTTAACAACTTGACAAATGTCACCAGAATGACAACTAAAACTTACTTAATAGATCCAAATATATTACAAATTAACCTGTGTGAAGATATTTTTTGCTTAAAGACTGTAATATTGTATTGTGATTGACTACATATTCAGTGCCTATTATTTGAACATTCCAACAATTATATTTTTGTTAAGATAGGTCTTGAATTAAGTCCCAATAGCAGATATTTTTCTCAACATTCTATCATACTTTTCCCAGATGAGCTACAACAACTAATGCTTATTCAAGAAATAAGTGCCACTCAGTAATTTCTGAATTCAAATTATGAACTCAACCATTTTGAAGGAAGAAAAATACAGTCACATCACCTGAATATATAGAAACAAATTAAAAGGTTCCAGAAACTCTGAAAAACCTTTCACATCTATTATCTCTTTTTTCTTTCTTTTTCCACTGCTGTTTTCCCTTGCTGGAATGTCTCAGAAATATTTTTATACTAGAAATATCATTAAAAGCTAAGGTTTTGTTGTTATGAGACCACCAGCAAAAGCCAACACGTAATATGAATAAATGGTTACCTTCATTTTCCAAAGTTGACAATTAAATGACTACCAGTTCAGAAATTAACCCAAAAGCCATCTTGAAGTTCTTGATTATGCTTTATATAAGGGTTTTGAGGAGTTATATCTAAATCAATAAAGACTCCTTTCTTTGTTAATATGTAGCTGCAGAGAAAATTGGGGCAGTTATAAGGACACACTGTTCTAAAATTTCCCTTTACACTCTCATTTTTGCTTTTAAAGTACATTGAAACTTAATCCTTCTTCAATTAATTTGGCAACATTCATATCCAATCCAGTGTATTTACAGCATGTATTAAAAAAAGACATAAAGAAAAAAAAATCAAGAAATTCCAAACTTTTAAGTTCTACCATGACAGTAATTTCTCATCAGTAATGAACAGCAATTACCTTGATGAAGCTTGAACTTTACTTGATTCAGGAATTTCTGGTACAGGTCGATGCCTTAAGATAAAAGATCGGCTTGCTCTTGGAAATACTTTCATGCAGTTCAGCGTACACGAATCATATAAGTCATTGTCTATCATTTCTCCTTTAAACTTATAGAATGGAGAATCTGGTTTACTGTCAGATAAATCACCCTCATCTGCAAACCTCTGTTTATTTTCCTTGCATTTTGTTTCGCAGGAATGAACAAATGAAGGAGGATCAGAGAACAATAAAGGGCAAGTCAAGTGCTCATCAGCATGGTATGTAGCAGCTTCTGTCAGTGATGCATCTTGCTCAGTATTCGTCTTCATATTTCTACTTTGACTGACAGCTTTTCGTATGCTGTCTGAATTCTGGTATAAACTAGAAAAATCCAAATTTGTAAAGCTATCATCATTTGCCTCCATTGAGTTCTGCTCTGCAAGTTCAAACTTTTCCTTATTGACGTAAGATTTTTTAAGAAGTTGTTCTGATGATGTTTCAGGCATCCGATCTACACTTGAACTGCTTACAGGAGACTCCTGATCTGAGGATGAATACTGTTTCTCTTCCAAACCTTTCATGTATTTGAATTTTAAATTTTCACGGAAAAGAGAATTTCCTCGAGGTTCCGAAAGACTGTCTAACTGTTTAAGAATCCTTCTGCGATGTCCTGTAGGCAACACTCCCATTTGCTGAAGCACACTGTTATTGATTCCCACACAATCTGTCACAGTGTTATAGCCATATTTTTTAAAGTTAGGAAGATACTGTGCAAGGTTAATGTTGACCAAAAATTCTTCAATATCAGTGCCATTGCCTGTGGATGACATAACTTCATTTCGTATATTGCCCCACACAGTCATGTAGAAATAGTCAGGTTGCATGCATGCTCACTAGCAAGAAAACTCTATTGAATTTGATGTCCACCAGCCAATAGAAAAATCCGTTTCCTCATGACACCTCTTCAAGTTTCTTCACGTTAAACTGATTTTTTAAAGACTGCAAACATATGGAAAAGAAAAAGGACATTAAAAAGAATTCTCACCTGAACCTCACAATTACCTTGAATAAAATTGTGAAAGACTCCCTGTCAGATAAACAGTAATATTTTTTCATTGTTTGTATACAATAATTTCAAAAAGGGTAAACCCTTCCTTTTATCTAAGCCTACATAAAGAAAATAGCAAAATCAAAGTCTCAGCACAAATAATACAGACTTAAAACACATAATCCTAGTAGTTAAACATTAAGATGAACAGTTAAGAAATGAACTACTTATCTATACACTCTCTAATTACACAGTACTTGGATATCAGGGAGAGAAAGAGTTGTCCAAGACCACAGCTGGAACCTAAAACTTTCCTATTTCCACACTAGCACCAATAATTATGGAACAGGGCTTCTACTCCCTTATCTTCCAATCTCAAAATCCTTTTAACATAGACACAGACCTGCAATGGAAGAAAGGAAAAATTAGTATCTAGAGCATTCTATGTGAACCATGCCTTCAAGCCCTCTTCAACTCAGAACCCAACTGAACAAGTATTATCCTCAATAACGTGGTTTGCAACAGTAGATCCAGCCCTTCAAACAAACTGTCCTGAAAGAACACAGCAAACAGGTAACCACCAACTCTGACAAGGAAGCAGTTTTCTCTTCACCACAAAGAGAACAGGCATGACCCCACAGGCAAGTTCTGGCTGTCCATGAATTTTTCCTTAGCATTTTCCAACTCAGCTCTTATTCTTCAGATGTCATCTATTTGAGTTATTCTTTCTTTCAGGGTCATATCTAAATTCACAATTTACAAAAACCAGATGCTACTGTTCTGAAGGTGTTTGAAACAGCCTGAAATCATATTTCCTCAAAGAAGGTTTAAGATCAGCAACACTCAACAGGTTTTTCACCTCTCTTTCTGTACAAAGAGTAATTTGGCCTTGGGGAAACCTGCTGACTATAACAGCTATCCTGGCATGCAGGTACTAGCCTTAAGCAGCCTGGAAAAGAAAGAAAAGCTTCAGTGGAAGAGCATTAAGATTTAAGCAGCATTTAGAAACAGGAGAAATGTTATGCCCAGAATTTGTCTGTGGCAGTAGGCATTGATACCTAATTCTTCAAAGTATTTCATGACAAAAATAATGCAGTATTTATGATCTAGAATTTAGGCTTAAAACATTGCCTACATTTTTACTGTATCAATTGCTATAAGTTTTCCTTTATTAAAAATAAATCATTGGATTCTCTCTCGTCTCTAGCTTCATTTTTCAGGATATATTTTTATCAGCTTTGATCACTACCCACAATTCTGAGAAGTGACTTATCTTGAATATTAAATTGATACAATTAAAACCTTTTAGAGAGACAACTCTAAAGTCAATCAGATATCAGCATCTCAAGAGAGATTAACTTTAATACAGAGTTAACCCTCAATTAAAGATTCCCAAGTCATTTAAATTCAACAAGCTCATTTAAAAAAATTTAAATTAGATTGATCTAAACTGATTAACAATCCACTTTTGTATTTACCTTTGTCCCATCCTAACCTGCATGCTTATAAAAACTTTCATCATGCCTTAAAAAAATTGAAAACTCAGCATTTCCTCAAAATTTTCAAGGCAGCCTGTAGTCATAAGGGATAAAATTCAACAGTATGGCCTCCACTCATCTCTAAACCCTGGAAAGTGTAAATGAATATTCTCTTAACTAGATGAATATATAGTCTCAGATTCAGAGTACAGAATGAAAAAAAAAATTAGCACAGAAATTAATTACCAGGGGGAAAAAATATCAGACAGGTACTGTTTGGGCCAGAAAATAGTCTTTCAGATACCCAGTAATTAAATAAAAAGCACAATAAAACAGACTACAAATAAAAGGGGGGAAAAAAGAAAGAAAAAAAACCAAAAAAAACAACAACCAAACCACACACATATTCAAGTATATAAATCCCCTACAGTGTTAGCATATCAGTCTAAGGCTTTTAAAGTTGCAGTTGCAGGTGGTTATGTCAGCCATTTCCACCTTCCTTGAGAGTTCTGTGTTTCAAGATAGCATTTGGCTATTTTTCCTTAGGATGTGCACGTTCATTTTCAGACAGTATCATCTTCTCAATCCTTCCACCTTTCATAATAACAAAAAATGCACCTGGGAAAGCATCTTTAGCTATATATTTATAAATAAATATATATCTGTTATAGACAAAAATATTTATACCCACATATTCTATCTTAATACTGCTTTTTCTACATGCAATAGCTTTGCCTACACCTAATTCTGGAACACCCCCAGTGTTGTTACTTCAAGAACTCAAATAGGCATGTGTTATCAGCTATTTGGATTCTAACCCATCTTTGTACAAACCACATACCAATGCAAAGGGTTACCTAGCAGAGAACAGCCTTTAAGTCCAAATCTGTAAGAATGATTACGTTTTGCCATGTATTTTATGAACAAAGCATGCAGCAGAGGAAGGAAGGAACTGCTTGCTGAGAAGACATTTTGACCACAAAATGCCAACAGAGCTGCAAGATAAAGCCCAAGCCACTTTCTGTTTCTATAGTTGTCTATGGCAGAAGCTATCAGCGTATCCATCAAGATTTCTGAAGACATGTTACAGACCTGGCCTAGCTACGCAACTGGTTAAATACCACTAAGATTACATATTTTGTGGCTCTAAGCAAAGGGTTATACTGACCACTGATTTGGCTTCGTTACTTACACAAAGATTAACATAACAAACTGCTAAACAAATGTACACATACTGGAGAGCATTTTGCAGGCTAGAACATAAGTAATACCTTCTTAAAATGTTTTATAAGGTTTGAACTCAAGAATGCAGAACTCAAGGACCACCTTATTCAATATATTACTCTATTTTTATATGATTGTTCAATTTAAAAAATAATTTAGTCTCCTCCTTAATTTTGCTTACAAAGTAATTTATACAAACCATAAAGAATGTACAGTATAAGAAATGGAGTGGCATATACACATTCGTACAAATACATTCATTCTCTTTCACATCCATATTTCTACCACCACAAATTCAGCATTTGTAAACAACATTAGTGCACATAGCTTCATACACTCCGTAAAACAAATCTCTTTTCAGAAGCAAGGCAAACCAGATTTTTCCTACTTAGAAATAAATAGGGAAAAATAAAACAACAATGAAGAAACACAAAAAAAAACCACAAGGGGAATTTGAACTTGCTTAAATAAAATTGATTCTTGTTGTAATACTATATTCTCTTAAGTAGTGTAACCCAGAAAAAAATCACCATTCTTAACATGGTTACTAAAAATAGGAAAATGCTCTAATGGCTATTTAAAAAAAAAAAAAAAAAGAAAAACATCAAACTTCTTGGAAGACATCTGACCATTCTATTTTATCAAAATAGGGACAAAACACCTAAACTGCTATGTGAATAAAGCAATACAAGGAAAGAAAAGAGCTTCAGCAGGGGAAGAATTGTGATGTTTGTCACACATCTCAAGCCTTTTATGGAATCATCCAACTTTCCTTCATAGAAGATGTTTTTCACACTTCCTTACAAACTGATTGTCAATTTCTTCCTTTTCCCATCTTATGGAAGGGACTTAGACAAGGAATGGCAAAAAAACTCAGGAGTGGCCTAATAGTTCTTTTCTTTTACTAAAAGTGACAGCTAAATAGCATCAAAGAAAAATGGCAATTGTAATTCTCAGAACCCTTCCTCACATGGAGGTAAGCACCTGCATCTAGCATTCTGTAAAGCTATATCTACTAATTTTAAAATTCTTTCATTCTGATTTTTCAAGTTGAAAAAGCGTTGAAGACAAAATTGACTGGGAGATAGACAAATCTTTGTTGAAGCAAGCAAGCAATCCAAATTTTAATAGTGAAATAGGTGAACAGTAGTTTATAGGTGAACACAGAAACACTCAAGTGGGACTAGGCTTTTGTTTCCTTTTTTAATATCAATACAGATACAAGCCTGAAGAAACTGTCAAACCTTTAAAAGTACATAGCAAGATAATCACACTGTGAGCAATCAGTTCAACAAACACAATCAAGTTCAGGCTTGTTCCCAACTTCTGCTAAACCACATACTAGATTAAGATCCTAAAAAATTAAAAAAAACCCCAACAAACAGTACAACAGGTTTTACCATGGAGAAGAACAAAATCTGCAAGTAAATTATTTCATCTTCGCATTGCAATTGACGTCACACAAACTGACAAGATTAACATAGAAAAATATTGTAGATTAAAGGTCTTTCCCCAAACCTACATTATACAATCAGCATATAGATTGCTTAAAAAAAAAAAAAAAAAAAAAAAAAAAGGTTACTGACTACAGCAATTCAGATAGAACTATTGCCTCTACCAATACAAGGAAGTTACTAAGCATAGGTCAACCTAGATGATAGTTACAAAATAACTTTAATCACATCCTCTGTCAAAGTGTTTCTTTGTTTGTCTTTTTCTTTTTTTCTTTTATTTCAGAGCACTTGCCTTCTAGAAATAGGTTCAGCAACTTTCTTTACCTCGGAGTCAAACCTCATACTGCAAGAAATTCCAGTGGAACAACTTGCAGAGTCGCTGGAGTAAGGAACTGCATGGCATGAATAAGCAAACTCAGGGTGGAATTGGAACTTTGGGAAGTTGCAGTGGCAACACTAGGGTGCTGTATCCTTCACTTCGTATTCTCCATCCATTACGCACTACAGCTTCTTTGACTTTATGTTTTCTGATAAAATTTCCAGATCTATAATGGCAGCTAACATGACGTCTGTTCACGTCTGCCTTCATAAAAAACGACTCATAGAGTAAATAAATACACAGCAGTAAAGCACCGTTCTTTAGCGTGACGCTTACATACAAATAGTTGAAACAATTGAAGCTACAAAGAAAACAGTCGGCAATACACACCTTATTTTCTACCTGCCTACCTGCTATTTCCAGTCCGATCCCAACTTCGGTATGTGTGGCTCATCTGGGACATGCCCGTCCCCAGCCCCCGTGCCCTGTCCGGCGGCTTTCCAGGGAGCCGCCGGCGGCAGCGGCAGCCGCAGCATCACCGGCGGCAGCGGCCGGCCCGGGAGCGGCCAGACCCTGCCAGAGCCCCGCACACCGAGCCCGCCTTACCTCTGCCAGCGGCCGGCGGGGACGGGGAGGCAGAAGGAAGCGCAAGGCTTTAGCTCGCTTCAACTTTCAGTTCTCCCTCCGGCTCCCCACTCGCTCACTTTCTTGATGGCTTTCTCTCCTTCCTTCCTTCCTGCCGGGCTGGCTCCACACCCCACCCCACCCCACCCCCGCGCTGCTCCCCGGCAGGCCGCGCCCGCGGAGCTCCGTCCCTGCCTGCGCAGGAGGGGCCGCACCTGGGCGCGCCCGCCGCCCCCCGCGCCTGGCTCAGGGCGTTCTGGCCGGGCCACATATTTCCTGAGGAGCCACTGGGAAACCCGCTGGCAGGCTCGGGCTCCGGAGTGCTGTGTGCCCCGGCGCATCACAGCTTCTCAGGCCTCCCGTGCTGCCCAGCTCGGGCCGGGCGGGCGGCGAGTTTCCCTTCCCGCCCGGCCCGTGAGCAAAGGGCAGGAACCGCGGCGCGGAGCCGCGCTGAGGGCCAGCGCTCCCTGCCAGCAGTGACACAGCCGTGAGCACTGGCTTTAAAAAGTACAAAATTAAAGGTACTAAGCTTTACAGTAATCTCCAAGAATTTGCCCATTCTTGGAACGCACCCATGTCTGTGAAAAACTGTCATTCAGATGAAACCAGCATTTTGTTACGCAGAATGATACGGAAAGTGCTTTAATGTGGACCTACACATCTTCTTGAAGTGTCAATTCTCATCTTGTCTGAATCCAGAGAAGGTTTCAGAGGGTTTGCAGTGTTGCAGCTGAAGTGTGAGGTCTGCCACTCACCCTACCAAAGAAAAACAGAAGCAAAACTACACTGAGATAAAGAGACCAATTATAAAGGTGCTAATTTAGGAGCAAGTAAACCTGGGTTCTTTTTAAGACTGCTTCCTACACACTAAATATAGCCTTATTAGTAGGGGGACTGTTAAAAACTGTTGGTGCCATGGTATTAAAGTGAGGTTTCAGGATAACAATATTGAATGCAAACAGCTTTTTTGCTCTCCAGAACTTCCAGGTTAGAAGTTAGCAGTTCAGTATTACAACACCAATTCCACCAGTGCCCAAGCTTTTGAACATCCAGCTGCAAAGTTCAAGTTCTAATTATTAGATATGTAATCATCCAATAATTACCAAAAAAAATGAAAAAAACAGTTAATTTTCCCTACTTAACTTTTTATATGCAAACAAATTTTTGGACTTGCCTTTTTTTGACAGTCTAAAGTAATTTATTGTGTTCTAGCTTGTCCTTTTATTAATGCTTTTGCATTAATAAATCTCAGACAAGAAATTGTCATTCCCAATTATTTGCTAAGGGGCTGATATGTTTCCAAACCAAGTGAGTGCACAGATGTGATTCAGGTAAGTATACTAACACCCCTTTTTGTCATAGCCTTTCTGGATTGTAACCTAATGACTCACAGAGTCATCTGATCACAGATTTGCCTAACATTTCCAGCTAAGCCTAGCTTCCTTTTAGAACCCTAGGAATGCCAATGAATACTGACTTTGAAAAGGAATTTTAACCACAGTAACTTAAACTATTTGAAAGATTCAGGCCTTGTAAACAACAAAAGATTGGCCTCCTTTGCAAGGCTTACCTCACCATGCAAAAATTCAGTTAATTAGCAGTTTGTGGTGTGCTAGAATTTCTTTCTCCTCAAGTCTAAGGGTATGGTCATTGATTAACACCCTTGAGCTCTTCTCTCTTCTCTGTCAAGAAGTTCCCAAGACCTTCTATAAAGCCCACTTTTCTTCCTCTTCCACGGACCCATGTGATTAGCCCATGTCACTGAGCCAGTGGCAGAGACTATAGATAACAGTCTGCTCAGCATTTGTCTTTAAAAAGTGGGTGTCAGATCCTTACATGGAACTCACTGAAAGAGATTGCCCTCAGCACATTTATTTATACCTATACAGTAGAGGTATCTTCCCTCAGAGCACAGCATGACACACTGTGTTTCAGCCAGAGTTTTACTGACTATGTGTCCTTGACCACAATACTGGATCACAAGAACTGAGATCTTTTTTTTCAGTGTGTTTTTTTGGGAGAGGGCAAGGAATGGGAGAAATGAGCATTAAACACATACCCAGCTGTGCTTACTTCTTTCTGCTTGCATTATGTCCAGAAAAACTGCAATATACACAAGATCATTTTAAGTCATGTGCAATATACACAAGATCATTTTAAGGGGTTTAGGGGTTTTTCCTTACATGTTTTGTATGTCTAAATTACATTATTGGTACCACACAAACCCATATGATGTTTTATTCTTTGTTAGAAATATAATATAATTTTATATATGGTGTTTTACTCTGTTAGGAATCAAGTAGCATAATACATCATATTTTTAAAAAACTCTGAAGTCTCTAATTTATCTACAGCATATAGTTCTCTGATGAGCATAGAATGGCAGCTTTCTGACATGACAGTAAAAAAGAAGTCATACAAAAATATAGCAGGAAATTGCATCTTACTAATTTTGGTGTAATTCAAATATGACATAAGACAGAGTACTACTCTAAGACTTGTTGATAAGACTGAGTTTTGAAAAGTCTGCTGATAGGCCTGTAAACTGCAGAGGTTTTGTTATCTGATAATTTCCTCTTCCTTTGAGTTTCTGTGTTTTTGTGTTGCTGTCATGAATAAGTGTAAGGTAGGTAGGCTTTTTTAGTAAGTCAAGACAAAATTTCAGTCTAGAAATTAATTATAAATAGGAGCTCCATGACTTCTGCTATATTCTCTGAAAGACACTAGGGCTTTTGTATCCTAAAATACATGTAACCATATAAGAAGGTCATTCATTGTAAACATGCTAAGTACCTTCCAGCTCATATTTATCATTACAAAACCCTTTAAAAAACCTGTTTTCCAGTCATTGCTATTAACTTGATTTTATTTATGTTTTGTTTTAAAATCAGTCCATAAGAATAACCCTGAAAGTCGGTAAAAATGGAATAATATCACCAAACCGTACAGGAGCTAATCCTTAGGATATAAATATATCCCAGATTTCCACACCCTGTGTGGTTTGTCATACATCAGAATAGATGTTTGCCATATTTCTAGTTGTTCATTAAGCTTATAATGAAACTGATTCAAGCTAGTCAGATTTTAGCAAATTCAAATATTGTCATTTTTAGATGTGTATATTTTTAAAACTAGAGATCAATTCTACTTGCTGCATATTTATTCTATATAAGAACTCCAAATCCAGCTGCGCAAACAGAAAATTGACAAGATAAAATAGGGGAAACAACTGCTACTCCTTCCTTTATGGATGGCTTACAAGAAGCTCTGATATTTACATGAAGTTTGTCAGCTACCAAAAAGTGCACAGGAGACCTGAGTTTATTTGTGAGAGTTTATTTTTTTTAATGAGATTATTTCACTTTCTCCTAGACAAAAACCAAACAACCCAGGTATTCTTATCGAACACAGTCCAAGCAAGGTCTAAGTTCTGAACTTGGTCTTCTGTGACTGGTTCAGTCTCATTTGCTCCTCTTCAAAGGAGAAGTAATAAAATTCATCCACCAGTCTCCTCAAGGTGTTGAAAAGGTTAAATATTTAGATTTTGGAGCTTATGAAGCATCATAAGAAATGAAATGTTAGCTACACCTCAATCAACTAGCAGTTGAATATCGAGGCCTTTTATGATTTGAACCTCACTATTATTGTTATAGCATGACATCAATATTAGTGTTAATAAAATATCAGGAAAACCAACTGTGGAAATTAAATAATGCATTACAATTTTCATAAGCAGAGTTCTATCATGAGGTATATTTCACTCAGGGTAAGACAAAATGACATAAAGCTTCAAAAAAAATGATAGGACTGCAGATAAGAATAAGCACTAGAGTTAAATTCAGTTTTTGCATTTTTGTCAATTGTATGTGTCCTTGGGATTCCTCTCAGCCACTTACTCAATGCATTGTAAGTCAGTTACTTTTGTATGTCATACTGAATACCCATTTTACTCAGACCTGTAAGCCAGTTTGACCCATACCCCATATTTTAATGTAATTAATAGTCAGTTTGATTTCCAGGAAGCTTTGTAAAATAGTTCTCTGTACCATATAATAGACTTTTAGACTATAATTTTATAAGCTATTAATGTGATTTTATAAAGTATAATAACACAATGATATTCAGTTTAGCCATCTTCTTTTAATGGCTGTAAGTTTTTGTTAAAACTACTGATGGACTCATGTAGTCCCTCTAGCTATTTTGATATTGATTTATGACTTTAGAAACAAATGTGTAAAAGTGATCCCACAGAGTACTGTTTACTAATTACTTTTACAATTATTGATGTTTTTCTTTCCTGTACCAATGCTGATGACAATTAAGTCCGAATTAATTTTTTGGCTTACATATTGTATACAACACTCAACTGCACATGCAAAATTCTCTCAAGAAGTTATTAGATTAATTGATATACTCTTAATTATAACAAAACTTCTTGTAAGCCAACAGTAAAATTTACTCTAATTAGCAACACCTCGTATAGTGGTGATGGGTGAATTAGAAACATTGAACTTGACTTCACTTTCAACACAAGTCTACAAAGATAGAAATTCAGAATACATTCCCTGGGACAACATGAGGTTCCAGGAAGTTAAGAAGGCTCTATCTGCTGCCTTTTGCCAAAGGCAAAATCCTGGACAGACACTTGCCTGGACTAACCCACTCCAAGTCCTATCCTAGGCCTGCACCCAAACCTCTGGATACAGTCCTTTGGCCTGGTGATCCCCCACTTCCCTAGGAATTGGTACATGTTTTAACCTACAGAAAAACTGAGACTCTTTTCTGTAGTACTCCTTTATTGAATTCACAATCCTAGAAATGAAAGCAGACAATTTATTCTAGCAGTGCAAGGGAATTAAGCTCCTGCTGTAAATGAAAGGCTTCTAGTTGCTGACTAGGGTTTCTCCAAGAAATCTGTCATGAGAAAATCTAAATCTAGTGGCTTTAATACTTTTTCTCAGAGTACCTGTGTTCCAAGTAGGACCTAATTCTAGCTCTTCTGTCTCTCATTTACATTTAAAGATTTTTGAGTTGTTTTTGAATGCAAATACATCTTCAAAGCATGTGGCATGTTCAGGGTTTTTTTTTATTTCTTTGCTATTTCTCTCATTTAGGGGATTTGGTTACCTTGACATCTCTTTCTGTCATGTTTCAGAAGTTTAATGGAGCAGTCTTTAACTTATTTGAAAATAAATCCCTCTGAGGAAATTTCTTGCACATCAAAATGCTAAATTTTCCCCCATATTTATCTTTTGCACAGTTCATTGAATTGTAATGAATCACACATCATTAAGATTTTATCTCCACAGCACTGGCTTATTTGAACTCAACAGAAACCACATTTGACACTTTTAAAGATGCTTTTAGATTTAAAGGTCACCATTTCAGACACTTGTTTCTCTCTTTCATTTTACTTGTTGCTTAAGCAAATTTGTCATGGAAAGTAATGAAATATAATAGACATCACAGAACTATTTCTAGAGGAAAAAAAAGTCCACAGTACAATCACAATTGAAATTTTCTATAGTTAAATACAGTTTCACACTGTATTTAGGTCTGATGAAACACATTATCATACAATATTAGAACTGTAGAATGGCCTGAGTTGGAAGGGACTTCAAAGACCATCTAGTCCTAACCCCTTGCCATGGGCAGGAACACCTTTCACTAGACCAGGTTGCTCAGACCTCCATTCAAACTGGCCTTGAACACTTCCAGGGATAGTATTCTCTGGAATAACTTCCCTGGTCAACTTGTTCTCTCTCTTCTTTTTTCTCTTTTCCTCACTGGTCTCTGCCCAACCAAAGAAAGCAACTCATGATAGCGGATTCACTTCCCAGCATTCTGATGATATCAAAGGTGCTAAACTGGAAGCTTACTGTGTATACAAATAACACTTGAATAGAAAACTCAAAGATACCCCATCTGTCC